TGCTCTTGCTGCTGCTGCTGCTGTTTCTACAACAGTTACTGGTTGGGTTTTTGCTGCTGCTACTGCTGATCCTGCATGTGCTGCTGCCTCAGCCTGTACTGCAGCAGGCACTGCTGCCTCAACTTGTGCTGCTGCTGCTGCTGCTGCTGCTGCTGCTGCAGGTTGCGTCTGTTCTGATGGATGCAGAGGGCTGTGTGTTGATTTGCGGCAGTGCACACCCCATGCCTTCTCAAGTAGAGTCGGAGTTGCTGCTGCTGCTGCAGCAGCAACGACAACTGCAGCAGCAACACGCGCAGCAGCTGCTGCAGTATAAGAAAAAGAAAGGCAGATATATATGCGACACCTGGCAGTAGAAAATTTAACTCTAAGAACCTCCTCTTTAATTTGTTTGCTTCGTTTGTGGTGTATGTACACTGGGAGAATGCATGCCAAGCCTCAGAAGGCCGCTGCTGCTGTTGCTGCTGCAGCAGCAGCTGCTGCAGCAGCAGCCGTTAGGAACTGGTGTGTTGCTGCTTGTGCTACACCTGCTGCTGTTAGAGTGCAGCAGTAGCAGCAAGCTGCGGCTGTTGCTGCTGCTTGAGCAGAAGGGTGCTGCAGCCTGTGCTGCTGCTGGCAGTTAGATGCCTTATGGATAAGCGTTGGGCTGCTGCATCAGCTGCTGCTGCTGCTGCAGTTTAGTATGCTGCTGCTGTAGCGGTAAGGAGAAGGCAAGCAGAAGAGACCCTCTGCAGAGTTGCACCAACAATAATATTTATTATTTACAGTGTAAAACAAACATATTATTTGTTTATTATTTAATTAGAATATAAGTAAATAATAAAAAATAGTAATATCGAGATAATAGACAAACTCAGTAAAAAGGTTTAAGGGCCTCAACTATTATATTTTTCTCCTGTTGATGCCGCTCTTTTTCGTTGTATATACCCTCTTAACTGCAACTGTCTCTATTACGCCTCAGTATGCATAGAAATGCATTGTTATAAATATTTATATATATAATAAATAAATATATATATATATATATAAATGTATATATATATATATATGCGTCGGCTGTTTATTGTTATTTGTTGGTGTTGAATGAATGAGAAATACCTGCAGAATGCGGCAAACATCTGCTGTTTTGCTCTATACACAGCTAAGGGACCGCGTTGTTAGAGTATATTTCATATATAATATTATATATATGTATATATATATATAATATAATTGGTGACGCGTTTTCGGATTAAAACCTCCTTAATGTTTAAAAAGGCAAATATACTCTTTTAGAAAGATAGATTACGATAATGAGCCTGCAATAGCTGAATGAAAGACAGATAGATATTTCTCCAGGCAACTAAGACTAAGAACTGTGTGTAGTTGAATGAATAAAGGGTCAAACCCCCGTCTTTTAAAAAGAGAGGGGTAGTGATATTTCTATTACCTGTTTAATACTCTGCACACAGATGAGATGGAGAGCAGTGTCTGCATGCGAAGCGATAATTTCCTTTCCAGTGGAATAAAGTCGAATTGAGGCTCAGTGGAATACAATAAAGCCATTATAGTGCAATAAACTTACTTTGAATTCCATCTTTCTGCAATAAAGCTGAGTTGAGTATGATAGAGTCTCTAGAATGCAATAGAGTTGAACTAAGGTGCATTATAAGGCAAATAGTTGAATTCATTTGCAACAAAATGCAATAGAGGGGCTGCGAGCGTTGTTATTATAGGCCGAAAAGGCAACAGAAAACTTGGGGTGCTGTTGCGCCTTTCATAGCTTCTTCGCATACTGATTCAACTCCAGACTTGCAAAAGGGTGAAAACGAGAGAAAAGAAACACTCTAATAAATTTCTCGGAGTTGGTAAGAGAAATCATATTATTTTATTTATTACTGATTGTTCAAAAAGATTTGAACATAAAATTTTCATGAAATGCGAATGGTAGTATGCCGGTTTCTGCAAGAGCTGCAGATACACCCGAACAACCGGTGGAAAGCTGCACGACTAGCGCCTCATTAATTTTCTTTTCGGGTTTTGTATCAGTGAAATGCAGAGAAAATGCCTTTGTTTTCCCTCTTCCACTCAAGAAGACTTCTTAAGTGATTATTTATTTACCTACCGTTTCGCAGCAGCGTTCGCCGGTCGCGCCTCCGTCGGCACTGGAGTACAGAAACATGAAAAGATAATCATTTTCTTCGCTAAAAGAAAATATACTGAATTAAAAATCTATATTCATTATATTCACACGGCTCTTTACTTCTATCTGTGCAACATATTTCCTCTCATTTTAAGAGAAGGGTTGAGGAGGTTTCTTCTGCACTGGGCGTACGTCTTCTTCAGAGCCAAACACTCCACCGTCACTTCGCGCCAATCTTCATTCCGCATGCACTCCCAGAAACCCCCTCCGTTCTTCATGCACGGAGAATTCTGCAGCAGACAGCAACAAGAAGTACACAGCGATCAAAACACAACAAAAGACAGACAGAAGAAACTCTCACAAAACCCAGAAGCACTAAGAAAACAATTTAAGAGGGGATTACTAAAACCCTAGCACCAACCCACCTGCATGCAGGCCGCGAGGTCGTCACGAATTTTGCTGCAGGAATTTGAAGCCTCGCGGTGCTCCGCCTCCGGCCCCACGCGGAGAGACATTCCTTCGAAGATCCTCTAAACCCTAAACCCTCTAAACCGTGAACCCTCTAAACCCTAAACCCTTGAAACCCTTAACCCTCAGCTGCAGCTTGGGTCTCAAACGGCTGGATGAGGGGTAAGGTGGCTCATAGGAGTCAATCGGCCGCAATAGAGATAAAAGGGAAGAGACGGAGAGCAGACGGCCTCACAGAAGGAGAGGCAAATAAGGTAAGCAGTTAGAATTTCTTAATATCTGTTATAACATATAATAAACTTATTTTGTTTTGCTCGCTGCGGTGTATCAGCGAAGGAAAGGGAAAGACGAAGCAGACACCAGAGAAGAATCTTCTTCTTTTACTCTTCTCTTCATTTAAAACCCCGAAAGACAGATTTAATTTTCTTGATTGTGCTGGCGGTGAAGCCAGCAATAACTGCAAAAAACCGCAAAAAACGAAAAGCGAGGAGGCAAGCGAATGAAACTCTGTAATTAGCAGACAATTAGACGTCAATAAACTCAAACAAAACAAATAATTAGATAAATAAACAAAGAAACGGAAAGGAAACAGGAAAAAGAAGAAGAAACAAACAAAAGATATGCAAGCGATTCAGCGGCTCTTCACCTTACCCATTCTTCTTGCAGGTAAATGCGTCTTCTTATTTTACTCTATTTCATGCTTTAAATCAGCACATTAAATAAAATAATAACTTTAATTAATTCTTTATACAACAACAGCAAACTTTCCTCTCAAGCAGACGAAGAAGAGGCGGGGGCCCCCTAAAGCGCATTGCTGGGGGCCCTCTGAGCTTTTCTGCTGCAGCGGCATGGCTGATGATAATTACTTTTTGTATGTCTTATATTTATATTTTTTTTTCAAGAAAATAAAGGTTTTAATATGTAAAATATTAAATAATATATACTTGTAATTCAATAATTAAAACCGACAACGGCAGGATTCGAACCTACGCGGGCAGAACCCAATGCCTTAGCAGGGCACCGCCTTAA